TTCCTGCACACGCCTGTGCACGGTGGCTCTGGATGTTTCTACTCCAGACTCAGTCCACTGCTTCCGCAGGTCCCCCAAGGTCTGGAATCGGCCCTTCTCCACAATCCTCCTCAGGGTCCGGTCACCTCTTCTCGTTGTGCAGCGTTTTCTGCCACACTTTTCCCTTCCCACAGACTTCCCACTGAGGTGCCTTGATACAGCACTCTGGGAACAGCCTGTTCGTTCTGCAATTTCTTTCTGTGTCTTACCCTCTTGCTTGAGGGTGTCAATGATGGCCTTCTGGACAGCAGTCAGGTCGGCAGTCTTACCCATGATTGCGGTTTTGAGTAATGAACAAGGCTGGGAGTTTTTAAAAGCCTCAGGAATCTTTTGCAGGTGTTTAGAGTTACGTCGTTGATTCAGATGGTTAGGTTAATAGCTTGTTTAGAGAACCTTTTCATGATATGTTAATTTTTTGTGACAGGCATTTTGGGTTTTCATGAGCTGTATGCCATAATCATCAGTATTAAAACAATTAAAGACCTGAAATATTTCAGTTGGTGTGCAATGAATCTGAAATATATGAAAGTTTCATTTTTATCATTACATTATTGAAAATAATGACCTTTATCACAATATGCTAATTTTTTGAGACGGACCTGTATATATATTCCTCATGTGTCGAAAACTCAACCAATCAGTGTCTGAGTCAGATTTTCTCGCTGTGGCCCAAAGATGATCTCTCCTGTGCAGGAGGTCAGATAGTTTAGGAGTAAACCAGGGGCTATCTCCTTACTAAAGTACTCCTTACTTCTGCTGAGGTCACGCTGAGATTCTCTTCATCCAGTGATGAAGTGAGTCTGGTGCTGGGTGGTCTGTTCGGGTCTTCGAAATGTGCATAGAAGTTGTTGAGGGCATCAGGCAGTGATGTGTCTTTGGGGCATTATTCACTCCTGCATTTATAATCTGTTATACACTTAATGCCCCTCCACATGCTCTGTGGGTCTTGTGAGGTGAATTGACCCTTGATCCTCTGTGCATATGTGGCCATGGCCCTCTTAATTTTTTATTACTTTATTTTACCAGGAAAAAATCCATTGAGCTCACCATTTTCTTTTACAAGGATGTCCTGGAATACCAGCAACCAGCTCTTTCCTTGTCCTTCTCAGCTCCTGTGAGTTTCCAGACCTGAAGGCAGTGTTCCTGGATTCCAGCAGGGTGCGCACCTCTGCATTCAGCCAAGGTTTACTGTTCGGGTAACTTTTAACATATCTTATCGTGGAGACGTTGTCAGTACATGTACTAATGTACCCCAGAACTGAGGATGCGTATTGGTCCAGATCTAGTGCTCCATCATTTTCAGCAGCTTCTCTGAAGACCTCCCAGTCTGTTCTTTCAAAACAATCTCTCAGTATGGGGACACTGTTCTGGATCCATTCAATAACTAGTGTTTGAATGTACATCTACATCTGATTGTTTCAGGGCAGCTGCCACAAGCAGCTCTGACTTTAGGAAACACAAAAATGGCTGTGACAATTTTATAGATACTGAGCTAAAACCCTGAGTGGTAGTAGCTGAGAGATATTCACAGCACATACTGAGTGTGACATCTACAAACCGGATTCCAAAAAAGTTGGGACACTAAACAAATTGTGAATAAAAACTGAATGCAATGATGTGGAGATGGCAAATGTCAATATTTTATTCGTAATATAACATAGATGACAGATCAAAAGTTTAATCTGAGTAAATGTAACATTTTAAAGGAAAAATATGTAGATTCAAAATTTCCCAGTGTCAACAAATCCCAAAAAAGTTGGGACAAGTAGCAATAAGTGGCTGGAAAAAGGAAATTGAGCATATAACGAACAGCTGGAAGACCAGTTAACACTAATTAGGTCAATTGACAACATGATTGGGTATAAAAAGAGCTTCTCAGAGTGTCAGTGTCTCTCAGAAGCCAAGACGGTAAGAGGATCACCAATTCCACCATTGTTGCGCAGAAAGATAGTGCAGCAATACCAGAATGGTGTTACCCAGCGTAAAATAACAAAAACTTTTAAGTTATCATCATCAACCGTGCATAACATCATCAAAAGATTCAGAGAATCTGGAACAATCGCTGTGCGTAAGGGTCAAGGCCGTAAAACTCTACTGGATGCTCGTGATCTCCGGGCCCTTAAACGTCACTGCACCTCAAACAGGAATGCCACTGTCAAGGAAATAACAGAATGGGCTCAGGAATACTTCCAGAAAGCATTGTCAGTGAACACAATCCACCGTGCCATTCGCCGTTGCCAGCTGAAACTCTACAGTGCAAAGAGGAAGCCATTTCTAAGCAAGCTCCACAAGCTCAGACGTTTGCACTGGGCCAGGGGTCATTTAAAATGGAGTGTGGCAAAATGGAAGACTGTTCTGTGGTCAGATGAGTCACGATTTGAAGTTCTTTATGGAACACTGGGACGCCATGTCATCCGGACCAGAGAGGACAAGGATAGTCCAAGTTGTTATCAACGCTCCGTTCAGAAGCCTGCATCACTGATGGTATGGGGTTGCATGAGTGCTTGTGGCATGGGCAGCTTGCATGTCTGGAAAGGCACCATTAATGCAGAGAACTATGTTCAGGTTCTAGAACAACATATGCTCCCATCTAGACGTCATCTCTTTCAGGGAAGACCCTGCATTTTTCAACACCATAATGCCAGACCACATTCTGCAGCAATCACAACATCATGGCTACGTAGGAGAAGGATCCGGGTACTGAAATGGCCAGCCTGCAGTCCAGATCTTTCACCTATAGAGAACATTTGGCGCATCATAAAGAGGAAGGTGCC